TAGTCAGACTTCTGCATAAGGAAAATTCCTTTAGCAGCTGCTTCCTTCTTATAGCCAAGTCTCAGAATTCTTTGTTGAGGTTCTGCTTGGAGATCCTCTCATTCATGAAGACTTTCTTGAGCCAACCATCCCTCCTCATCTGAAAGTGATCAGGGAGTGGAGTCAGGAGCAGAAAATGGGGAATAAGGGGACCACTAACTGAGCTACCCTATGAAATCATACCTTTAATAGGCAGTAGGACCCCCTGGCCATCTTGCCTCTGCCCCCCTTTTTGTGTATTGGTTGGATTATATGGTTAATAAGAGCTCCTTCAACTCCTAGTTTATGGGATTTTGTAATGGTCCTAACTCTCACCTTTTTCCAAATCCTCCACTGTCAGTGCCTAGGTCTGGGCTCCATTATCGCACAAATTTAAATGTCATCTTGGCCTTTTCATCCTAAAGCTCCACAGGGATGGAGTCATGACTCCTCTTCCCTAGAGGCCCCCACTCCCTACCATGTGAGTCACTTCCTGAGGGCAGGACATGGACCACATTCCTGGGCCTTGGCACTGGGGCTTCACCCTTTGTGCTGCTAGAAATAAGATCAGCCTGCTTCTCTGGTGTGCTCTGAAAAATGAGACATAATTATAACAGACAAGAGGGAGACGCATTCCACCCGGATGCAGGGGAGGCCATTATCAGGTCTCCAGTTGGTCTTCACTCCATCAGCCTGAACTGGTGTGACAGCTGTGATGATGGAGAGACCCAGGAGACCTTGCAAGGCTATTTGTGTAGAGACAAAGGCAGAAGCGAGCAAAGGAGAGGCTAGGCTGGTTCTTTGTAATCCAGGGCTATAGCTCTATCCTGCATACCTGGGATGGTTACACAGAAAGCTTCTGGGTCAGTACCTTAGGAGCAGAGTGGACCCTGAAGAAGAGATCTTCCTAGAATATGGGGACTAGGTCAGAAAGTGTCAGTCTAAATGGACTACTGGAGAGAAAGAAATTATTGCAAATTTGCAATATTATCTGCAAATTATCCAGTCCAGCCCCCTAATTTTACAAAGGAAAAACTGAAGGTCAGAGAGACCTCTCCAAGGTCACCCAGAAATTGAATGTCAAGGCTAGGAAAAGATACTGGAAGTACTGAAACTGTGTTCCTTCTCTTATCCCATACTTAGAATCCATTCAAAGTGGAGATCAGCCATCTGCAAGGGTAACTCTTTTGATGACATGTTTCTGAGGAGATCAGAGTAGCTCCTAGATCTCTAAGCAGCTATATGATCTATAGTTGCATCTTCTGCATACCCCTGCTCTTCTAAAGGACATGCCCTGTGCAAATGATTGAGGACAGTTACTCTCTTCAGTATCTCTCCCGTGGAAAAAAAAATAGAAAGTAGCCCAACCTCTCATGAGTTTGGCCACACCAGGGAGACCTCGTAGTGTAATGGGAGGAATACTACGTTTAGCATCAGAGAACCTGTGTGCAAATCTTGGCTTGGCTACCTCTGAACTGGGTGACCTTGGACAGCTCCCTTCTCCTTTGTGGCTCCCCCATTTCCTTATCTACAAAATAAAGTTGGATTCAGTGATCTCTGAGGTCTTTCCTAGCCCTAAATCTATGGCATTATGTTCCCATGTCCATGATATCAAGATGGAAAAGAATCCCAAATGACTGTGGGTGGGGTGTTAATGTTGGCCATGCTACTGCAACCCTCTTGGAACAGTGGGCCCTCCTTGGCCTCTCAGCAAGAAGAGGAATGAACACTTACCTGAGCTTCTCGTAAGAATTTCCACCCATGTGATTAAACCTACTGCTCCAAGCTCCACTAAAAAGGGGTGAGATATTTGCACAAAGATGGAAACATACTTTTCTACCGTCATTCAAGTAATTGTTAAGGGACCTTTGTGTGTCAGGTGCTAAGGATATAAAGAAAAAAGAAAGTTCTTGCCTCCAAGGTGCTCCATTGAGGGGAGGGGCAGGAGATAACATATAAACAGAAAATTTAATAAACAATCCATACAAAATTTTATGTGTTTTTCAGAGGGTAGGGGTTGGGGTGTGTAGCTTTTAGATACTGGGAAAATCAGGGAAGGGTCACTGTAGGAGGCCACATTTGGACTAGGCTTAAGAGGAAGCAGCTTGGAGGAGGAGGGCTAAGTACAATCAGCTCTGGTTCTGCAGTGGTTAACAGCCTGGTCAGCCTTTTGCTAAAACCTTAATCCTGCTAAAATGGGGATCAGGTGTCTAGTCTTTGCTGCAGAGGAGGGTTAGACATAGGTAATGTTTTTCTTCCAGAATTGAGCAGATTTTCCACTTCAGTGTTTTAAGACACAAATCCGAGGTGATGGAGGGAAGGCAAAGGCAAGGGAACTGCTGGGCTGGGAGTCAGAAGACCTGGGTTTTAATCTGGGCTTTGGCACTTAGCATATGTGTGGCCTTGGGCAAATTCCCCTCCCCCCCCTTAGCTTAAATTTCCTCATCAATGAAAGTGGGATAAAATCATTTGTGCTATACAATTCACATTTTTGTGTAGATTAAGTAGGATTGTTGCATTCAACCCCCCACCCCACCCCAATTAATTGAGTCTGCAGTGTGCAGTCCACATCCCTTAGCTCCTAGAAGTGCAATGTTGAAATAGGGCATGGTCCTCTCTGGTAGCCTACTACCTAGCTGAATGAATGAATGAAGGTTTCGTTAAGTACTTACTCTGTGCATATCACCATGCTAAGGGCTGGGGATGCACCTAGAAAAGTAAGGCTGCCCTGTCAAGCACCTCACAGTGCAAGGAGGAACACTGCAGCCACCAGTCAGATGGCCTTCAGAGCAGGCTGGAAGAGTCGGGTGGAGACCTGCTTCTGACGTCCAGTCTGTGGGCCCAAAGCAAGTCACTCAGCCTTGTGCTCTAGGGCAGAGAGGTCACATATGATGCCCCTTTTCTGAGTACAGGCAGCCCCAAATGTAATTGGAAAATATTTACCAAAATAAAGATATAAATCATAGACAATGTTACGTTCTAAAGCTAAGTCTGTACTTGGCCTGCAGGGATTCCTTTCTATGCTTTAGTGCACCACTTTCTATTTGACTTTGACATCACTGACCTAGACACTTTCCAAGAGTTGCTGATCTGCATTGGTGAAAAGAGTTTATTTCTTGAGATTTTCCCGCATCAATGAAATCACAGATTTGGGCCCCAAAAGTCATAAAATGGAAGCAAAGCAGTGTGTTATGGGCATCTGAAAAGAATCACAGAACTTAAGAGCTGGAAGAGACCTCAGGGGTCATTAGTCAGACTCATCCCTCAAAGGGCAGTGTTTCTAGGAAGGTTTGCTGGAGGATGTGGGATTTACAGTGGACTTTGAAGGATGGGGTTAGGCAGGGTAGGGGGGACATTCCAAGGACAGGGCATCCCATGAGCAAATCCACAAAGTGGGAAAGTGTAGGACATATTTGAGGGATGAAGGCTAGATCCTAAAATGTGTCTATCAGATTGTAAGCTCCTTGAGGACAGGGACTGTATTTTTGCCTTTTTGTAACTCCAGCTAGCATAGTGCCTGGCAAATAGTAGGTGCTTAACAAGTGTTTATTGATTGATTATGCAGAGAGGCATAGTGGAGAAGAAGCTGTCCTCAGAGCCAGGAAGACGTGGGTTTAAGATCTTCCCTCTGATATTTACTGTCTGTGTGTGTGTTTTTGCTTGTTTTTTTTTCTCATTTGCTGTCTTTGTGATCCTGGCCAAGTCACATAACATCTCAGTGCTGTGGGGAGGACTATATGTCATATTATATGTTTAACCTGGAAAAGAGAATATTCAGAAGAGATATGATAGAGGTCTTCAAATATCTGAAAGTGACAAATGAATGTACGAGTGAATGAATGAATGAAAACAAATATTTCTTAAGCACTTCCTGTGCGCCAAACACTATTCTAAGGGCAGGGGATGCAAACAAAAAAAGCAAAGACCCTCCTTGATCCTAAGGATCTTACACTCAAATGAAGGGAGTTGCCAACACGCAGAAGTTCCTGGTGGGTAGGGAGGGCCCCTTTGGTTCAGAAACATACAGGAATGGTGAGGGTACCCATAGCATGTTAGGTTGATTAACCCACCCCTGCATGGAGAAATTGAAGTGAAGACCAGGGAACAAGGAATGAAGTGAAGCAGGCTAATGGACTTAACCAATATTACACAACTAGAAGGCAGCAAATCCTGAATTTGAACTCGGTTCTTTTCTCTCTAGCTTCAGCCCTATTTGCACCATGTTATAGTCAGTCAACAAGCATTTATTAAGTGATTATTATGTGCCAGGCATTATGCTAAGCACAGGGACATAAAGGGATATAAAGCCTATCAGGTTATATCATTATGTTTTCTAGTTGTGAGTCATTTGTTTGGTCATTAATTTCATGAGCAGTTGGGATCTATAGCAGGTTTTAGAGGTGGAGAGTGACATAACTCTGCTTTACAAAGATTAACCTTACTGTGGTATTGAGAATGATTCTGTAGAAAGGAATAGTAGGAGGGAGATAGGAATACTGGTTAAGGGGCCATTCTGGTCTCTAGTCTAGACACAAGGAAATGAGCTGGCATGGTGGCAGTAGAAATGAAAAAGAAGGAATTGGTGAAACTTTATCAAAGGGATTTAGTGATCATTATAATAAAAATAAAATTTAGAATCTAGTGCAAAGTGTACTTCTGAATGTCCATCATTCCTACCATTGGCCAGACTGATCAGTGTGTTCTCAGCGAGATCCCCTATATATTCCTTCAACAAACAGAAGGGCTAGGGAAACATATCATCCATAACAATTCCCTCATCTGCTGAATAATAGGAACCCCATGGATCCAGCTAACATGTACTGAGCACCTACTGGGTGTGTAATGTAATGCCATCTTCCTTTGGAGAAGTCTGGCCGCACACACACTGTGAATGAGGCGTGTGTAAAAGAAGCTGACATTCCCAGCAGTTACTTGGTAAACATTAGCTCAGCACTGAAATACTTTCTTTTGCTTCACTGCAGTCACCCGGAAGAGCCACTGTGCCAAGGAGTCGTCTGCAAGCCACAGCCAGGATGGGGACACAAGCTGGAAATGCACAGGCACAATTGTGCCCGAGGGCAAACTTCTCCTCCAGGTGAATGCTTCAGGCATGTTTTCTCATTCTCTAGCACACTTGAAAAGATGTGTCTTCTCTTTAGTTGTTATTTATTGCTTAGGGGTTTTCCTAATAGTAATACCTTCTTCTTCTTCTTCTTCTTCTTCTTCTTCTTCTTCTTCTTCTTCTTCTTCTTCTTCTTCTTCTTCTTCTTCTTCTTCTTCTTCTTCTTCTTCTTCTTCTTCTTCTTCTTCTTTTTGTAACTAAACAACTGTTAGATTAAGTATGTTTGGGCAAAGAAAGGAGGTAGGTGGGGTTGAGTCACAGCCTAAGCTACTGTTTCAAAGCATTCTTACTAGCTTATCATATCCTCAAATCTGTTTAAGTTTGTTTTTAAAAAAATAAATTTGACTAATATCTGTTTTTTTTTTATCATCTACATTTCCCAATATATCCCTTTCCTACCCAGAGAGCTGTATCTTAAAATAGAGGTTAGAAAAGAAATATATATATATATCAGCAAAATGACTCGGTGCAAAAAGGTTGACATTATCCATAGTGTTCCATATTTGTAGCCTACCATCTCTTCAAAGAAGGTAGGGACATGCCTTTTCATATTTCTTTTTGGGGGTCAATCTTGGTCATTATAATTTCATGTTTTTTTTATATAATTTCATTGTTGTTCATTTCAGTCATGTCTGACTCTTTGTGACTCCATTTGGGATTTTCTTGGCAAAGATAATGGAGTAGTTTGCCATTTCCTTCTCCAGCTCATTTTACAGATGAGAAAACTGAGGAAAATAGGGTTAAGTGACTTCCCCAGGGTCCCATGGCTAGGAACTGTCTGAGGACAAATCTGAACTCATGATGATAAGTCTTCCTGACTCCAGGCCCAGCACTCTATGCACTGTGTCACCTAGCTGCAATTTCATAGCATTCAGGTTATGTTATAGTCTATATCTATATATCTGTATCTATCTATAGCTAGAGATAGAGGTAAATATCTATCTATATCTTCATGTTGTTTAGCTTATTCTATTTTGTATCAGTTCACATAATTCTTCCCATGCTTTCCTGTTTTTATCACATTAATCATATCTTACAGTCTAGTAATATTTCATTGTAGCCATATACTACAATCTGTTTATTCATTCTACAATCAATGGACATCTACTTTGTCTCCAGCTCTTTGCTATTACAAAAAATGCTTCTATAAAGATTTTTAGGGTATGTGAGGTTTTTCTTTTTGTCATTGACATCACTGAAGTATACACACACACACACACACACACACACACATCTGAGATAAAGGGTACAGCATTTTGCTTGGAACTTTTAGGAAATTTATTATTTTCCTGATTAGTTAGCACCCCATGAATGAGGAAGCCAGGAGAGCCTATTAATAGGAAACTTCTGGCCAAGATTCTATCTGTCCATCTATCCATCTATCTATTGACCTACCTTCTATCTTCTCATTTATTTATTTAATACACCTTACATTTCAGTCTGTTTGATCTCAAGCTTCTCATTGATTTCATTAGAATTGTCCCGATCAGGGAGATAACCATGTACTTTGCATCCATCCATTCATTCAATCATCTATCCATTTGTTCATTCATTCAACAAGGATTTATTAAGTAGCTACTAAGTGCCAGGTACTATGTTAGACGCTGAGGACACAAATATATAAGTGAAAATTTTTTGCCCTCAGGATTCCAGAGGGGAAATGATGAGGGCTTAAACAAGATAGTGGCCAACACTGGTGGCTTTGGAGAAAAGGCTGGGTGACTCTTTATGGGGATGTTGTAGGGAGGATTTCAGTTCTGGGACAGATAGGACAAAGTGACCTTGGAGTTCCTTTTCAACTTGGAAATTCTGAGATTCTATTAAATCAGACCCTTTAAAAATGAACTATAGTTATACTTTTTAACTGACTTATTCAATGACCTACCCATGGACCTAAAACATATGGATGTATTATTTATCATTTGTTATCATGGGGGGAAAGGACATATTGAACAGAGAATACTCCTCTGAGTTGGGAAGATCTGGCTTCAAATCCTACCTCTGCCATATACTAGCCGTGTAACTCCAGGTAGTTCATGTACTCCCAATACTGCTGCCAATTCTCTAGGATGAAGTTGGGTGAATGTTTGTCACTTGGATTGATGATAGATGGAATTTCATGACCAGTAATGCCCGATCTAGGGGTGGGGAACCTGCGGCCTCAAGGCCACATGTGGCCCTCTAGGTCCTCAAGTGTGGCCCATTGACTGAAGGATTTATTAAATCCTTAATAACAGGATTTGTTCTGTAAAACTTGGACTTAGTCCAAAGGACACACCCAAGGACCTAGAAGGCCACAATGAAGTCACAGGTCAATAAGAACCAAAAAATCACTTCAGCACACATCACTAAAAAACAGTTTTATGTGGATCCTGTCCAGTTGTGGCACAATGAAAAGAACGCTCATCCTGGAGTCCTGGGATCTGAGTTTGAATTCTGTCTCTGATCTTCATTACCTTGGTGACATTGGGCAAATCCCTTCACATCCCTGGCCTCAGATCTCTTCTATGAAAAACCAGGGGATTGGGCCAGATGGACTCTGAGCTCGAATCTCTAGTCCTATAATTTATAATCACAGTCTTTATTGCTAACTCAGGACAAATAATCCAACCTCAGTGAAGGGTTTATTGAGATCTAGCCACTGCTATTTCTGCTGACGATCAGCATGATGGGCTGAAGGTCAGGCATTAGGGGCACCAATTAACCTCTGGAGTAAATTCCCACCCACTGGGTCCTTCTCAGTGAAAAGAAAGACCATTTGTATCCAGAATAAAGGAAAGCAAAAGGGAAAAAGTGCAGACCTGGGGAATGAAGAGGAGTGGTGAGCAGCAATAGCTGAGCTTGGCGCAATGTGCGCACCAGACCCTAATGACTTCCGACATGTCTCTACATTAGTGAGTTGGGGAAAGTGGGCTGGGGTTGGATGTCAAGGTTTCAAATTGCCATTAGCAGTGAAAGTCATGGAGCCAATGTTTTTAGCTTGAGTGATGGAAGGGCTGTATTTCATCAGCAGAGTTGGTGTGTGTGTGTGTGTGTGTGTGGTGGGGAAGTGGGGGAATAGAACAAATATGTTTTGGTGAAATGAAATTAGATTAGTCAATTAAGTTGATATTTAAGATAACAAGTATTTATTAATTGCTTACTAAGTTCAAGGCACGAGTTCTGGGAATGCAAAGAAAATGTAGAAACTGTAACTATTACAAACATTGTCCAGGGCAGCTGAAACCAAAAGAAGATGGTCTAGAATTTAGGAGGGGAAGCTGGAAGGGACCTGAGAGATCAAATGACCCAGCCCCCTTGTTCACAGGTAAGGTTTGGAGAAGTGGATTGACTTGTCCCAGGTCATACATTTTTCCCAGTGCTGGGGGCGGGATTTGGACCCAGATTTTCTGCCTCTCAATCTCATGGTTTTTCTACACTCACTGTCGTAGGGTTGGCGGATAGCCCGTTTCCAGGCTGTTTGTGTCTTCTCTCCAAAATGTGAACTTTCTGATTAGAGGTCCATTTAGAGGAGTCCTCACGGTTCTGGGGTCCAAGGACAGGACTGAGAAGTTGAAACTTCTCTGTTTTATCTCTGTGCTAACCCTGACTTTGTCTGATGAAGCTATTTAATTTGTCTGCTAAATGAGGAATGAATGCCAGGCCAAACAGTCTTCAGGCCATTATTGCATTCATGAATGAAGAAAAATGAATTACTTTCCTTCCGCAGTTAACTCTCCCTTAATTAGGGTCTAGTTCAGGGCTGGGGAACCTGTGGCCTCAAGGCCACCTGTAGCCCTCTAGGTCCTCAAGCTCAGCCTTTCAGCCTCATCCAAACTCATTGAAGGGCTGCACCTGAGGAACTAGAAGGCCACAGGTTCCCACCCCTGGACTAGTTATTTAGGGTTAAGATTATCTTGGCCCTCCAGTACTTCCCTGTAGTTCCCTTCCTTTTCACAGAGCCTGAGAATTGGAAGGGACTCTCAAGTGCATCTAGACCCAGAGTGTAGCTATACCTCTGACCTTTGGAACATTGACAATATCCAGCCTGGAGGAGGAGTCCACCACCTCGTAAGGAAACCCACTCATTTAGGGACAGCTATTTCACACTGGTGCTTCATTTTGACCTTGTAATCCTCGAAAACCTCCATATCTGTTTCACTGGAACTTTCACTTACCAATGTCTCCATCACCCTCTACTTGTGGAGTTGATTATTTGAAGCCAACTGATGGACTTTATATTTATCCTAGTAAATGCCATCTTTTTGGTCTTATCCCCTTGTTTTATCATTTCAAGGTCTTTTTGGAACTTGATTCTCTCATCTAAGGCATTCACTCTCCTCAGCTTTGGGTTACCAGCAACTTTGATAAGCATGCAGCTATCTCTTTATCCGAATCACTGATAAAAAGCAACAGAAATTCTTTTGGTTTAGTCATTAAGCTAAATCAGAAACCATGTAACTGTTCTGCTGAATCTTCCAGCCCCTTTCTTATCTTATTTTCCACAAAGATGGCATGAGAGAACTTTTCAAATTCTCTGTTAAATCCAGCTATGCTATGCTTCTGCTAATCCCTTGGTAGACCAGTCTAGTGTAGCTTTAAAAAAAATTCAAGTTAGGTTGACTTCTGTCCTTGATCAGATCATCTTTGAGATGATTGCTTCTCTTTCTAAGTGCTTTCCAGTCATCCTTTTAATAATGCATACCAGAATTGTTATAAAAATAAAAGCTAATTTGACCTTCCCATTTGCCTCAGACTTTTTCCTTCTTTTGAAAATCAGGACAAAGTCTGCCCTTCTCTTGTCCTTTTAAGTTGTTCTACTTTCCTACAGTTTTGCAAAGATCACTGCCCAAGACTCAACAGTCACAGCTGCCAGCTCTTTCAGTGCCCTGGAATCTGCGCCTGGTGACTTGAATTCCTTTATCTGGAATTTTGATTCCTTGTTAACCATGTTTATGCTCTTTCCCATTCCAAAGGTCACTTCTTTTAGCAGA